GTTTTGTCAGGTACTAGAATATTTTAATTCAGGTCAAATTAACAAGACTGCCCATCCTGAGTTCACTTCAACAAATATTTACATGTGCCTGTGACATGCCAGAGTAGATTCTGAGGCCCCAGAGACAAATGATCTAGTTCTTGAGTCAAGAAAATCGTGGTCTAGCAGGGAAGAAAGCAAACACGCAAATGATTGCAATATATCATTTCTCCATTTTGCTGATGAGGAACCAAGGCTCAGAAAGTATTTCTAAGTAATCAAGTACCCAAGTAATTAATTACCCACAGATTGCCAGTCAACGACAGTGCCAGAATTCAAGCCACGATTCTTATCACTGAGATTACAGTCACTCCTGTATTACTTTAGTAAAAGCATTTCAGTTGGGCTTACTGAACACCTCAAGTAACACCTGGGAAGCTGAAGATGATTTAAAAAGTCTCTTGTCATCACTTAGTTAGTTAGAGCGTGCTTATTTTTGGCTAGCATCTTTTTCTGAACTTAAAAGTGAACTAAAAATCAGTCACCTGTGAAAGTAAACTAAATTCCAAGTCTTCAAAGTTCTGTACCAGAGTGCACCCTGGACTGCTATCTGCAGTTCATCTAGGTCAAGGGAAAGCTAAAAAACAAAAGCAATGCATCCTGTCCTTCCAAGGGCCTGGGAGAAGCATAGACTGGGTCCCAGCAGAGGAGCCACAGTGATCTACACGTAATTCACCCCTGCATTTAGCAACTTTCTATGAAAAGTTTAGAATCACTCTCTGCTTTAAAAAAAAAAAAAAAAAAAAAAAACTTTATAAATGTCACTTCAATGGCTGCCCTGTTTTATTTTTTGGCATTTTATTGTGAAGCTAGGAGGCTGACCATCAAGAAATATGAGGAAAGCTAAACCCTTCTCCTAGTCTCGAACTTACTATATTTCTAATAATCACATTTAATCAGGGTTTGGATCTCCTTACGAGCCAGCCACAAATAATAAATTAATTAAATAATTAAATAAATAAATAAAATAGATCACTCCTCACAATCAGATACTTTCTTCTTCTACATACCCTGCATGTGTAATCCCAAGCTTTTAAATTTCATTGTGAAGAGTTCCCAGTCTATTTCCGCCCATTTGGAGTTCCATTCATTCATTATTAACCAAGTATTTAACTATGCTCTTTATGCTGGGGAATCCAATGATCAGTAAGACATATGTCCTTAGGAGTGGTCTGGTGGGAAAGAGGGACAAGTCACCAGAAATTAAAGTAGACCTTCCTTAGTAAATGCCATGGTGAGCAGGGTTCTACGGACCAACAAGGGGCACTAACCCTGCACACCCAGGAAGGCTACACTAAGGAGAATCTCTCAGCTGGATGGTATAATGAGTGAGGGCATGGACTGTTTTGTCTATCCAGGTATCCTGGGTCATCCACACATTGGCTGGCCCGAAGCATAGGGTCCCTCACGTGCAGAAGCCCTGAGGCACATTCGGGGGAAATTGGTTGAGTAGGACCAGATCTCGTGTGAATTTGCACGTTTGCTTGGGAGTGGAGAAGGGCATTCGAGGTATGGGGTTGGAGAGGGCATCAGGCCAGATGATAAAGGTCTTAGCTGCCATGCAGGGAGGGACATGTGTTTCAGAGCAGCTCCTCCGGCAGTGGAGTGGATTTCAGGGGAAGAGGCTGTGCAGGAACTCTAGATAATGACCTGAGAGTCGCATGGCAGTGAGACAGAGCCGCGGAATGGGTCAGAGACAGAGCCAACAGGAGGGACAAGGTCTGGTCATCGATGGGATGGGTGAGTAGGTCAGCTAGGTGGAGAGCTGCTCAGAGAGACGTGCCTGTGGACATCCACACGACATTGGGCCAGCAGTGTGCCCCACCCACAGGGCGCTCAGGAGGGGGTCCTCAGCTACAGGCGGCTGCTGAAAGCAGCAAGGGAAGAAGTCACCAGGAAGAGTTGAGAAACTAGGGAGACTTTCTAGAGAAAGCAGGACACTCTGGCCAGTTTCTGAGAGGAGAAAGTTCTAGCAGAGGCCCCCCTCCCTGCCCCGACCCCGCCTCCCCTCCCCAGCAAAGGTGTCTGGCTGCAGCCCTTGCGGGTCAGCTCGGCCTCCTCTCATCCAGCCTTCCCAGCACATTCTGTTCCTGCTTACCTGGTCCAGGCTGTGGCAGGAGCTTAGGAAGTCACAGCACACCCTCCGGAAGCATTAACTTTAATAACTCAGGAGACGGCAAAGAGATTTTTGTTAGACATAGCAAAATGATAAAGGAGAAAACAAAACAAACTCCTAGTTTACAAAGATACGACAGGATTTGCATGACGTTTTCTGCTTTCAGCTCCTCCTCAGACTCTATTGTCATGAGCAATACGCATCCACGCTATGTGCAGCTTCAGTGACACAGCGGCCACCTTCTTGTTTGCCCACTGTGTCTCCTCCTTGATGAGAAGTACCCCTGTTCTTATCCAGAGCAGTCCTCCCAGTACCTCTAATCCTAGCTGTCAAATATGTGGCCACATACAGTGCAAGTTACCCTTCCCAATTCAGACACTGAACCTCCCACTTACTGCACAAATTTGGGCAGGTTTCTTGAGCTGCCAAGGGGAGCTCCTAGGGCACAGGGCTGTGAGTGCACGAGTTAACACGTTACAGAGCTGAATGTCAGGGCCACCGCTTGCGACCTGGAGCTGCCGCTGCCCAGAGTTCTAGCCTCTTCCTTTAGTCTGCTTGTGGAAACGGGACTGTCACGGTGAGAGCAGAGACGGAGAGAGCTGTCCTTGTTTGGAGATCCCAGTTCTAATCTTGAAGGGTGACATTTAACTCTTCACTCTAAGGAACTAACAAACGCCATTATTTCTTAAGCTAATTCAGGTTGGGTTTCTGCACTTACTAGTGGAGTCCTAATTAACATAGGGAACTTCAGTGGAAGCTCTTAGGAACCTTTGCAGGGCCCTTTAGGAAGGGATATTGGTATAACTGGTAGAGTCCATCTCTGCTGGGAGGTGTCACCATGAGCAGGGTGAGCCAGTGCTCGTCTTATATTTAAGTCCCTGATATAAAATGGTGTACAACCTACACACATCCTTCCCTGTATCTCTAGATTTCTTATAATACTTAATACAATGTAAATGTAATGCAAATAGTTATAATGTATTGTTTTAAATTCCACAATTTTTAAAATTATCGTTGTATTGTCATTATTTATTTTCAAATATTTTCAATCTGTAGTTCATTGAATCCATGAGGACTGTGGTATCCGTGGGGGTCCTGGAACCAATCCCCTGTGGATAGAGGGACAATTTTATGATGTGAACACTGTCCAGAGGTCACATGAATAAACATGTTCATCCTCTCTAGGGACTGGTGTTACTCCGGATAAACTAAAACAGGTTCTGGTTTTAGAACTTCGAAGTGGACAACCCTACCAAGAAACAAACTGGAAGTCTTGCTCAGTTGCTTCCTTATACAACAACAAAAAAAGACAGGGCTGCATGAATTTTAAGGTCTCTGTGAAGTTCCAGGGGGATCCGGTTATACTCCCTTAACGTTAGCTCACGTGCTGGCACATAACACTTGCAACACTGGACCACTACCCTTTCCAGATCGAGCTCCAGCTGACCCACAGCCTCTAGTCTCCCTGTTTCTCCCTCACCTCCCCCCCTCGGAACCCTGCTTCTTTGCATTGATAAGTCAAAGTATTTCACTCCCCTGTAAGCATTAATGGAAATTAAACATGGCTTAATACCTCCACAATGCCTCCTGGACTGTTTCCAGAACACAGTTGCACCCTTTAAAAGGTGAAATATGAGCTGGCCAGTTAGTTCAGTTGGTTACAGCGTGGCACTGATAGCACCAAGTCCAGGGTTCCATCCCTGTACTGGCCAGCCACCCCCTCCCCACAAAAACGAAAAATATATATTATAAATATATATAAAATGTTCTAGAAACCCTGAATCTAAAAGATTAAAAAATTGATTCACTTAAAGATACAAATATGAAATAAAAATAAAAACACAACTAAAATGCTTAGGGAATATAATTTCTGCTTAATAGACCTGCTTGCTGTCTCACTGATGAGCTATTTTCTGAAATTTCCTAAAATACATTTAAGTGGACTAATCTCTCTTGAGCACAACTTAAAGTCTGATACTGAGGGCCTTTATGCTTCAGATCATTATCAATAATGTAGAGTACTAGGTGTTCTCAAGTATCACACTCTGCTACGTTAGTTGCTTTTTAGAGCACTAAAGTACACGGTCTGTGTCCTTAACACAGCCAGTATTCTCTATAAAGGATTTCCTGCTCACGTTTCCCAAACCACTGAGCTCAGTCTGTGTCACTTACATGGTGATCCCAGACACTAATACTTGCACTCTGCCCACACCTGCTGCCCAGCAATCGGCTTTAGAAGCCTCCCAGGTGACTCTGATAAATGCTCAAGTTGGACCACCACTCCTATGAAGCCCTTACCTACGGACATGAAAGCAGGATTCTGAACCTAGAATCTGAGATCTTCAGATCATTATCAATAATGTAGAGTACTAGGTGTTCTCAAGTATCACACTCTGCTACGTCAGTTGCTTTTTAGAGCACTAAAGTACACGGTCTGTGTCCTTAACACAGCCAGTATTCTCTATAAAGGACTTCCTGTTCACGTTTCCCAAACCACTGAGCTCAGTCTGTGTCACTTACATGGTGATCCCAGACACTAATATTTGCACTCTGCCCACACCTGCTGCCCAGCAATCGGCTGTAAAAGCCTCCCAGGTGACTCTGATAAATGCTGAAGTTGGACCACCACTCCTATGAAGCCCTTACCTACGGACATGAAAGCAGGATTCTGAACCTAGAATCTGAGATGCCCTGAAGTCACACGCAAATGTGGGTTCTCCTGACGGAGAAGCTGCAGAGCTGTCAGTATTCTCAAACGGATGTTAACCTAGAAGTTGAGGCGCCACTGCTTTAGAGTCATCAAATTCAGCAGAGTTGACTTCTGCAAATACACACCAAGCCAGAATTTTCTCCAAGCCCTTTAATGTTCACTTAAACAGTTGAGGCACAAGCAATAATAAAACTGCATTGTTTACGTTACAAGGAAGTTTTGTATGACACCTGCACGATATAACAACTTTCTCCTAATCCCTTCTGCAGTAACATTTCATTAATACTCTGGTCCAAAGTTCATTCAGCAAGGTCAGAAGGGCAGGCAGGAAGATGGCAAAAATACCAAACGTCATTACTGAGGGGTAAGAGGAACCAAACATTTACTGCCTGCCTGCTATGCACACTACACTAAGGTTCACACACTTGACATAACGTGAATGTTAAGTTCTAGTTATGTTAATAGAATAGCACTGCTACTGCCAGGTAAGTCTGTTTAATATGCTTTCTTTTCAAGTACAAACTGTGGAACCAAACAATAGATCTTTGCCCAAAGAAGTGTATCAATGTGCACTAATACATATTTTCCATTTCCAAAGATTTCACACATGGGTGCAACATTAGCACATGGGAACATTCAAGATGGTATTACTCTACTTAAATCTGGGGTTTTTTCATTCTCAGCTACTGAGCACCATTTAGCCAGCATCACAACTACCTGGATCGACCACTGTGTAAAACTTAAGATAGGAACAGATAGTGTTCAACAATGATGTTTCTGGGGGTAGAAACAGCTGGTTTTTTTCTTTTCTTTTCTGCCTAACACTGATAGCCTTCAAAAGTGGTACCTAATTTTAAGAGCACCAAAGCTTTCATTTAAGTAAAATGTACTTGACTTATCGGCTGTAAAATGAAGATATCACTGCCTTTTCAAGCACTGGACCAAAGCCAATTATTTCCAGAGAGCCAGTGACACCCACCTCCTATTGCATGACAGTTCAATGGCAGTCTTTCTACACTCCCCAAATTTGAGACGCCCCCTCACTTCTACAGCCAACCAGCATTTTTCGGGGCCCATTCCCTTCTCGCCAAGCTGTCTGCCCCTTGCTCCCTCTTCCCCCCACCCCCCGAGTCTCCCTGACTGCCTATCTGTGTCTGGGTTGGTGCAGATGGTTTCTTAGCCACATGGCCAATCACTGACCAATCACCACCACACTACTTTGGATTTGGGTCCTATGAGTAAAAGTGACTGGTCAGCATGTTTGTACTGGTCACCCCCCATCCCCCAAAAGCATAGTGTGTGTCATCAAAAAAAGCACTGTTTAAGGGTTAAAGATCACAAACCTGGAAGGTACCTGAGGAAGAGTCCTCAAGTGTGAGTGACCTAGTGTGATTCTATAGTGAGAATAGCAGAGGTAAGTTCAGAGATGTCCCGTGACTTGCCTAGTTGTGCAGCTAACCAGAAGCAGAATGAGAACCACACTCCTCTTTCCACCACACCACAATCACCACAAAAAACCAAGATCAAGGTTAAGAAGTTTGTAAGTAAAACAAAATAAAAAGCCTAGTACACATGAAAAGTCTTTGCGATTTGTCCACACATTTTTAGACAGAATAAAGGCAATCTGCACAATGAGAAATGCTGCTCAGTTCAACAGATGCCATTAAGTACCAAGGATCCTTATTCTCAGTTCTGAAAATGAACCTGTGACTGCAGATAATGTCACTACCTGAAAATAAGGGGTCCCACCGGCACCACTCTTTTCAAGTCTTCACTCACAAGGTTACACCTTACTCTCACTGTCCAACAAGGTAAGTTAACCAAGTAGAAGCAGGATTAAGGAGGTACATTGGAGATAAAAGCAAAAGGGAACAAACATTTTTACAAGTGGACCATCCCAGTTACCTTAAAAGAGTTTCAGATTAATTTACAGAGCAACAGAACAATATAATTTCAGTGAAGATTAACAAGATAGTTATACCATTAATAAAAAAGATCAACTTGGAAATACTAAGTCAGGCAAGCATGCAAAATTCAGAATGTATGAAAATGCAAAGGCCGGTTGCCTAAATACACTCCTCAAGCGAAGGTAGATTTGCAGATGCTGAACAGGACCAAATGAATTAGAAGCTGAAAGGGACACTTCAGAGATCAGCAGCCCCATTCCCTCATTGCGTAAGTGAGGAAAGTGAGCGGACAGAACTGGCAAATTCACAGCGCCAGACTAGGGGTGTACACATAGATCTGATTCCTGGTGCTGTTTGCAACTACATATATTTAAAATGCAAGGAGATAAATATGCAGAACACACGAAGCCCACTGATTTAAACAAAACATTTCAAGACTGACCCATAGGGAGGGGGTGAAGTTGTTAAAGCAGCACAGCAGCTCACCTCACGTATTCACGTTTAAGAGATTAAGTGGAAAGAAATTATTGTGAAAAGATCTTAATGCTCAGTTTTCACAAATACAAAAGTTTCTACCCAATTTTCTGAGTTATAGCAAAATGTACTAGCTTAAAAATGTGCATTCTTCAGCTTTCTCCTACACTTTTTTGCCTATCTTTCAAAACTGAGCACTGAGTATTTTTACCATAACTAATGTTATTTCTGCATTTCAATTACATGTTCCAGGAATAAACGAAAGCCATGATATTTCAGTAACTCATAGTGTATTTATAAAATGAAATGCTCTCTATCAAAATACACTTTTTACTGGGAAAAATAAATAAAACAGACAAACGAATCTACACAAAGTAGACATTAACTTTCGTAGATTTCAGTGTAGGACAGTCCATAACAAGCATATTTGCCCCAACTCCCCCAGAGCTGCTCAACTTCCGAGTTAAGAATTTTAAAAATATTTTCAACTGAAATTTCATTGTGTTGACATTTGTTTCTCATTCCACATCATCTTCAGCCAAGCTCTGAGCACTTACAATTCTCTGAAAGAGAAAAAAATAATTTAATTTTTAAAAGTGTCGTGAGCATTTAATCAGGATTCTTAGTTCAACAGAAGATGCTCTTTGTACTCAAAGAATCAACTCTCTGCTAACATTCACCCATTCGGGCGTTTATTTCGATATTTAACACTTCACACATTATCACCTAAGAAAATGATGATCACACTCCTGTCAGCTCCATTTATGCAGTCAATTGACTCCTGTCAGTCAATTATGCAACTAAAACCAAAAAGAATCTGAGATCTCTTTTCACTCCCACACAAACTTAGAATACCGATTAGTGCTTTACCGAATCATTCTATCCTCAAACATTACCCTTCTTGGCCTGGAAATGCTCATAGCCATTATATGAAGAACACGGCATTCTGAAAGCACTTCCAGATAACAGGAGACAAGCAAACTGAGCAATGGAAGCCATTTTTAGAGAGAAATCAGGCTTCATCCTGAACCCAAACATGTTTCAAAAAACATCTTCCTAGGGTCAGTTTTCCAAAGCACTATGCTAAGCTGCCTTCCAAACAGTGTGTAATATTAAACCGAGGATTCTGACCTGAATAAACTGGAACCACATTAGTCTAAGTAAAAAAGATTTAGACCAAGTCCTTGATTTGCTAATTCTTTCCCTCAAATCTTTGAGACCAGTAGTGGATTGAATTATGCGCCACCCCCCAAAACTACTGAAGCTTGAATTGTCTCCCAAATTTTATGTATTAGAAACTTAGCCCCCACTGTGACTGTCAAGAGGGTGGGAAATCCTATTATGGTCATTGAAAGGTGGAGCCTTGAAGAGGTGATTGGATTGTAGGACTGTGCAGTACTGAATGGATTAATAATGATGGTCAGGGGCATGGTTCTGAGGGCTTTAAAAGAAGAGAAGAGTCTGTCTTTCTCTCTCTCTGCTTCCACCATCTTGCAATGTGAGACCCCTGGATCACTGTTGCCACCACCAGATGGACTTTGGACTTCCCAGTCTCAGAAACTGTATGCAATAAATGTTTTCTTTATAAATCACCCAGTTCCGTGTATTCCGTTATAAGCAACACAAACAGACTAATACAGGACCTTTAGTTTCTTTCCAGTCCTTTTCCAAACCTGAGTAAAAATCAGTTTGAAAAATTAACTGGTCAGTTAACTAACTAGAAAGTTCTGTGAAAACGTCCCTTCATCATTTCACTACTTCTAATCACACCATCTTGGGAAATTAACACAGGTAACAGACATGCTATTCCAAAAAGCAGATTTCCTTGGGCCCCTTGGAAACAACTCAAAATTAACAGAATGCATTTTAATTAACTCAAGTTATGCATAAACTAATCTTTTATATAAATGGTATTCTGCACTTTGGAGTAGGGATTTAGAGATGTAGTTAAACAGCTCCAACCTCAAAGTTCACCTCAGCAGAAGCAGAGGCACTGAGCCTGTAGACAGGGAGGTCAGAGGGATCCCATGTTCCTTTATGACCTAAGGGCCAGGCTATGTCATCTTGGCTCCTCTGTCAGGCCACCTAACTGAAGGCATCGTCTCCCAAAAGAGTAGGCAGAAAGCAAGTTTTAGAAAGTAGCCAAGAGTGGCCTGAATTTGGGAATTTGACTATGAAGGCCTGAGACTTAACACTAAGACCTACACTTCCTGATCCACCTCTAGGGCACAATCACTAGATCTTACGCCCAGTCGCTTTGATGATCTGCCACTAGGGGAGAAAATTTCAAGCACCAGTATCTCCAGTATTACTTTCACTATACGAATGTTTCTCATGATTTTTCATCATGTTCACTAGGCTCATTTTTAAATGTCCCTAAACATTCAATTCTCAGATCCTGCTCACTTTCATCTGATAACATTTCAACTCCTTACCTGACTGATTGTTGGAAGCTTAGTCAGAAGCATCTGGAACACTGGCGGTGGCAGGGTCTGCTGTAACACTTGAAGTAACTGCTGCGGCTGTCCACACACAGCGATGGCATTTGTCAGATGGTCCACACCCTTTTCATACTCACCTGCAAGATTTACATAAAATCACATTTAACCTGAGGCCCTGGCTTTGTCAAAAATAACTTTTTACTCTATCTCCAAGTGATGCTGGCTTAAAAAAAATGTTCAAATAAAAATTCAGAAATAATCTACAAGTACAGAGTGCATTCATATCACTTAATATTATGAAGCCATTAACAAGAATGAGTCGGATTATATGTACTGATATGGAAGTGTCTGATATACATACATAAGGGGGAAACTAAGGTGGAGAAATGTCCAAGTATACCACTATGTATATACGTAAAATATTTCTGAAGGATCATGTGAAAAATTGCTAATGATGGAAAAGTACTTTTCTATGAGAAGAGAGAACTAGAAGACTGAGGACAGAGGTGGAAAAGAGACCCAAAGTCACCTGAAGCCAGCCCTTTCTATTTGAATGTTACCATGGGGAAATACAAGAAAAATGTTTCACAATGATACCAGTAGGAGAAATGGTCATACTAAAGAAAGAAAGGTAACAAGAAAATGATTGCTTCTCAGTGGGAGGATTTATTTTCTTTTATCTTTCAATTACCTTCAATAGATGCTTTTTTTTTTTTGGTGGCTGGCCAGTATGGGGATCTGACCCCTTGACCTTGGTGTGATGCTTACTACTTTTCAAAGAAAAAAATACTTGGGTCTACAGTTTTTGAAGGTTCATTTAATTCAATAAATATTAAGTACTTGTCATGTGGTCCTTCTCCTCAGCTCATTCCATTTTAAATCAAACTCCAAAGAACTGTCTCAAATTTGGTGAGAAAAGCTTTATGCTATTAAATATGGCTTCAAATTAAGTACTCCTTTGAATAGGTCTTTTCTATGAATATGAAGGAAATCCTTTTAATGTGCCTTACTGAAGAATAATTCCATTGGAATTTCTTTTTTAAATGATACAGGCTGGGGGACAACCCTCTAACAGACTCTCACGTTTCTGCACTTCCTCTGAACAGAGGCATTTACTGCCATTGCTCTGAATCATTTTTTCAAGAATGTCTGTGTAGCTTACAACCTTGGAACATACAGTGTCTCTCCCTGGAGCAGGGGCCAGTACATCATCCTCTATATCTAGGGCAAAGGGCATACATGCTTATGGACCACTATAAAGGATTCAGCATCTCTAAATTCAGGGCTCCTCTCCTGTATGCAACTCACCACATGTACAGGTGTCACCTGACCCTCTTTGCATCACCAATGAGAACTGGGGCTCAAAGAATCAGTACCAATGCCAATCCTCTGGCTACTGCTATAGCAGTGAGTGATGAACTGTCCTTGGTCTCTGACCCAGGAGTCTCACATCTTCTGACAGCATCTGCGAAACTGAAGCAAACTAACTTCTTAGCATGCAAGTAAGGTAAAATCTCAGAACTTTTAAAGTTCTTGATACTATTAAGATCATTATTTTCACTAAGTTCTTTTATCTACTAAATAATTTTCCATTTTATAAATTCTCAGGAAAATGATCTTAACGAGTAAGAACGAGTTTTCAATTAGTCTATCAAATGTTTATGTTAACAGGGCTGATAGGTACACCAAGGTCAAGGGTTTGGATCACTGTACCAGCCAGCCACCAAAAAAGTTTACGTTAACAGTGCTTTTTGGGCCGGCCTGGTGGCGCACTGCTACAGTGCTCCCACCGAGGGTTCGGATCCCACATACAGACCGGTTCCCGCTCACTGGCTGAGTGAGGTGCGGGCGCAACACCGAGGGTTGCGATTCCGTTGCCGGTCCGGGCGCGACACTGAGGGTTGCGATCCGTTGCCGGACATGAAAAAAGACAAAAAGGAAAAAAAAAAAAAAAACAGTGCTTTTCAACTGTTGACTTTATATAAAAATTTATTCAAGTAGATAAAATATTTCCTCTCTAATATTCATTCTCACAACAACATTAATAACTACCAACATTTACCACTCACCAAGAGCCAGGGACACTGTTCTTAGTGGTCTGCCCGAACAGGTTCACATTATTTCCTAACAACCTTTAGTCAGATAACGCCAGAACCCCTGCTTGCATTCCTAAATGTCCTCCCTAATCCAGCTTCTCTTTATGGATAGCACAGGTGTCAAACCGATTCAGATTTATTCTAAACTAATGATCAATGACAGGGAAGCACGACTACAAATCACAATGGCTGTTGTATTCTCACTCAGCTTTCTCGAGAGCAGCTGGTGACTTAAGAATACGTCTTCAGGTGATCCCCATTAATTTACTTTCCCCCCCCCCAGACTGGTTAAATTACCATATCCTACCACCCCAACAAGCTTGAAGGAACTAAGTATGTGCTTGGGCAACAGCTCCATCATGAGACCCCGTGTGTTTAACCCTGTGTGCTGCTGACACACATGAGAATCCTCATGGCTGCTCCTGGTATGTGATGGTATCTTCTTGTTCCACCAACTGGCTGCCATGGAATGACTGAGAAACCTTCTGGGTAAAAGTTTGAGCACTGTGGGGTATGTGATGGGTAAAGGTTTCCAAGGGCTTTCCTAACCTCAACCGTGGTCAGAAAAAGCTGAATCTCTGCTGCCAGTTTGGGGACTGTGACTGTCCCATTTACACACTGTTTTAGGCTACCCTGATTGTGCCAGCCATTGTCATCTGGGTGTATGCAGCCACCCCTTTGACCTGCTCGGCCAGATCTCTTCCTGGGTATTGAAATGATGTCATGATGATGCCCACCACAGAGTTGTGCATTGATCCAGCTTATGGTCGGCGCAGAGCTGTAGGTGATCAAGAGATTGGCTGATTCAGTTAGTTCCTGTTTGTGAACAGACACCATAAAGGCCTTAAATCTCTTCTGAATCAACACTGGCAACTATCTTTTCCGCAGATCCAACAACAATGCTGAAGAATTTATCCAGGACACACTGACACAACCTCAGTTGCTGTCAACTTGTCATCCTCCCTCTGCCTGTGCAAAGTGGGCGCTGCTACAGCTTTTGCTGCTCGGGTAGCTGGAACGTAAGCGGCGCCTTTTGTTAACACCGACAGCATCCAGAGCATCGTGTAATCCACCTATCACACAGCACAGGAAGATCGAGGCCAGTGTCCCAAGACTCGAGGAGCAGTGCCAGTCGGGATTAAGCACTGCTTCAGTGCTGAGGGACATGCTCTCCCTCTCCCCAATGCTGAGACCTTGTCTCTCCAACCACTGGGGAAAATGAAATGTACAGACTGAGAGAGACCTGAAAATGTTTCCTGACTGGTATCTATCTCGTGCTCTCCTGTCATCACTTACAAACCCCTACTCACTTATTTTGAATCATCCTAGTCTGTTAGCAATCGGAGTACAGGGAGCAGACCAACTGCGACGCATTATGTGAAATTAGTAGAGCAAATTCTAATTATGTCAAGAAATTACTTCTTGGGATAGGAGAGCATGACAAAAAGTAAAGCTGGTCACCACCACTGTAAATGGTTAATATCTTCCCATAAACGAAACAACAAAAACCCAACACCTACCAACACGTCCTTGCATCATGTAGTTCAATCCTGTCTACTGACACAGCACAGAGAATAAGAAAAACTTGTCACCACTTTTATTAATGATAGCAACTACTTCAAAGCTACTTTTGAGGGCCGGCCCGGTGGCGCACCGGAGAGTGCACTGCTTGGGAGCGTGGTGGCGCTCCCGCCGAGGGTTCGGATCCCATGTGGAGACCGGTTCCCGCTCACTGGCTGAGCGCGGTGCAGTCGCAACACCGAGGGTTGCGATCCTGTTGCCGGTCCCCAGTACGGGCGCGACACCGAGGGTTGCGATCCCGTTACCAGTCAGTAAAAAAAGACAAAAAGGAAAAAAAAAAAAGCTACTCTTGAGATAAAAGCTAATTTGACACTGAAAAGGTCTATACATACAATTACAACTCTAAATTACTGAAAGTTCTCAGATTTGTCAATTTGATAATTTTAATTTCATAATAGGAATCTGTAAAAAAAAATTCATAATAATGCTGATAGAATAAATGAGGCACAAAGTAATGAAAAGCCCAAATTCTAGATCACATAACTAGTCTGTTCTGAAATAAGGTGTCAAGAACTCACCATGTGACCTTGATTAGGTAAATTAACCTTCTCTGGGACTTACACTAGCCTTTTCTTCCTATAAATACTGGAGAAGACCTGAATAGTAGAGGAGGGAGTTGAGGAGTATATTCCCAGCTCATATCCCTTCAGTTACTATTTACATATTGTACTATGGCTACACACTCCAAACTACTTACGAGCAACCTCATTTGTAAAAATTACTTATTATAGCCTGTATATAATATGTAGCAAGTAAATTAAAACTCACCTAAAATACATTATGGACAATGATAACCCACAAGAAAATTTCCTTTCTAGAGCCAGTCTTACATAAAATAACCCTCACACTACTAAACGACTAAAAACTGCCTTGAAATATTTAGAACACCTTTTCGAAAAACAGCCAAACTACACAAGAAAAGCCCCTTATTATCATGAATGTATATTAGTGTGAAAAACTCTGTCTAGTTCCTTACTCTTTTAATGACTATTACCTTGAGCTAGTAACTCTTCACCAAGCTGTATTTCTTCAAGGAAGAATTTCTGAACAGCTTCTGCATCTTTAAGATCAGGTAACTGTTTGGAAATAGAATATTTAGAAACTGATAACAAAATTATGCCAGGGAATATAACCAATCCACAGAAAATCAATTTTAAAAAATTGAATAGCTCACTCTAAAAACCATGAAAAGAGACTTAGTCTTAAACAACACTTTTAAGGATTAGAATTTAGTGTCAACACTTAAATGAATGAAAGAAAAAATATTTCTTGATCAAATTGGTATCTGAATAGTTCTTAGAAAGCTCTAAATCAAACATAGAAAAAAATGAAGAGCACAAATATCTACATACTTCACACCATTTTTTTGTTGCCATTATTATAGATTTTATACAACCATAATTGTTTTTCTGATTCAACATTATTTCAGACAGATTTTTATATGCATCTAAAAGATTAGTTATTAGTTAGTGGCAGTAGAATATACCACTGAGGAATACATGACTGCCTAATTATTATATTATCTATTTGTTCGGCACTTGAGCTACCTCTAACAACTATAAGCAAGTTTTATTTAAATAAGTTTGCATTTCTGTGTTTTTGTTTTGTACTTTGTTTGTAGGTTGACTACAGTATTTATACAGTGCCACCAGCTGTATGGGCTGTCTTTTTAAAAAATGTAAAACTACTATTACAAAAATCCTTTCATATTTAAAAACCTAGACTTCCATTAATAAAAGGTTTTGGTTGCTGAATTACACTGCATACACTCTTATTATCCCCCATAGGTGAGAAAACTCAAGTTTCTGAAAGTAGAAGCATCTTTCATTGACTATCCCAGCATATACCAAGAATTTGATTCTATTTCTCAATCTAAAAATACACATGGATGCATGCCTGTATCTATTTTCCTATATCTTTAGAAAGAAAAGGCTAACAAAACCATAATGAACACATTACACACTTCAGAAAGATAGTCTGGACATATTACAACAATAAAGTGATCCCTCCCAGCTTCTCTTCACTATCACCACAGCCAGTCAATTAATTAGCTGTGCTGATTACTCAACTGTCTGAAAATAAAATATAACCTTTATTGATTTAATTTTTCCTTGCCTTAACTTATTTGTTTTTTTTAAAAAAGCCAAATTTTCAATTTGCTTTTAAAAAGAACCACAAATGGGCTGGCCCCGTGGCTCACTCGGGAGAGTGCGGCGCCGGTAGCAAATCCTATATGGGGATGGCCAGTGCGCTCACTGGCTGAGCGTGGTGCGGACCACACCGAGCCAAGGGTTGCGATCCCCTTACCGGTCAAAAAAAAGAACCACAAATGAATAGCATGTGGTTCTTTTAAAGGAAGTTGGAGCAAGAAAAATTAAATCATTTTGAAGTGGCTGAGTGAAAACGTTTTAACCTCTTCGGTCTAAATAAATGTCTTTTGGAGACCATCATTTTATCGCCCCTTAAACACTACTTATATAATAAGCTGTTTGTTGTTATGGCTAACAAGGAGGAAATAATGAAGTACCAGATAATCTGCAGTTGAACTAAGTTATTCAACTATTCCTAAAACAACAAATGTATTTTAAAATAGAAAATCAATGTCCGACATCAACTAACTTTCTCAAAATACATAATTGAAGCAGATTTTAAAATAATACTTCTAAAAAATAATAATACTTCAATAAGGTACATAATATAATCTAACCAAAAAACAGACTTAAGTATTACCTTGGAAAGTCCAGCTCTCTCCTTGGCAAGCTTCTGTTTCTTTCTTCCTACAAGAAATATAAAGTATTATTTTCAGTTTGCTATTATCAAAATGGTAATCAAAAGAACTCTAGTTGCTCTGGCTGTCATTAATTCTATTTGCTAAACAGTCCCAACTCTAGGAATCTATGCCTCCCTGGTCTCCTTGTGATCTGTCAGGGCCATAAGATTAGTTCTGGTCAATGAGCTACAGGCAACGTGACATTTCCCAGCAGGAGCTGTCTCTTTCCCTCTGGGGCACCAGGTGTAGCATTTCACAAGATGGCAACTGCTCCAAGAGCTGGACCTTCGAGTAATTACAACAAGCAGAGCGAGCCCCTCTAACCTACACAGGATATGCACTGTTACTAGGGAATTTTATTACTGCAATATATCAGATTCTACTTTTACTGAATGTTGAAAACTAACTGGCATTCTTATGTGATTTGACAATGTTTTCTAAAAACAAAATGTACTATTTATGCATTTGGCAAAAGTGGGGGAGTAGTGCTCAGAAGCATTGGTGGCTAGTTAAGAATGAATAAGCTCTGCCTAGAGACAGTAAGTTGTTTTGCTGTCTTTTTTTTGTTATGAAATCAAGCAATACTAAAAATCTCAAGAGTAACAGAAGTTGTTTAAAACCCTCATCACAGATCAGTCAACTTAAAATCAGTCCATCAGTAATAGGAAATTAACAGTATTTTAAACTGCTCCTTAATGGTACACCCCGTGTTGGCAAAGAGCAAGCACAGGCTTTGAGCCCAGCTGCCTTGTTCATGTCCAGGAACTTTTCCTTATTAGTAGTCCTTGGCCAAATGACAGTAACCTGGGCCTCACTTTCTTCATATAACTGGTCTAAGAGCACCGCCTACTTCATAGAGCTGTTTTGAGAATTAAATAAGTTAATGTATGTGAAGTATTTTTTAACAGTGCCTAGACTCACACCACATGCCACGTGAGCATGTGGCATTGAGACAGCTCCCTCGGTTGAGGGGCTGTGCCACACTACACACCTAAAGAAGTAACAGTCACAAAAAATTACTAATGACGTGAAAAATAACCATATGGCAGAGCTAAGAAAAGGTAAGGCTCTACTACTTATTAGTGGGTGACCTCAGGCAAATCTCTTAATTCTCCAAAGATAAGGCTGCCTGACTTTATAGGACTGCTTTGAAACAAAAGCCATAGAATAGGCAAATGTCCTCTGGAAACCTTCAAGCCCTCTACAAATCCAAGTCCCAATGTGTGACTAAAGAGGCAGTAACCTGTCTGCCTAACTCCAGACAGATGGTTAATTTACTATGGTGAGGGTACCTTTTTTTACTCTACCCTTACAAGCTGGATTTAACACACCTGTACCCCTCGCCAACTCTAGTCCCCACAACACACGAAGTGCTACCACTCTTAAGGCTAAAATACAAATACAAATTCTAGCAGTTTCAACAGAAAACTATCAGTTAAAGCTGACCTCACATTATTAATATGAGACTGCCAATTTTCCTAACAAACTACCTTACCCACGTATTCATCACTGCACAACTGTGGGGAAACAGAACATAATTCTACTCGCAAATTTGGTTTTTGGTCCTCTTCAGGCAGAAAATCATGAATGATACCAAGCGCTATTACCTAACTGCTAAATACCATGGTACAGACTGAAACCCGTACTGGAAAGAGTAGTAGTAAAGATGAGAAGAAAAATGGAAGATTTCAGAGAGGAACTGGATATGAAGACGAGAAACACTTGGATGTTTTAAGGGCAAGTACTCGACAAATTTTAGATGCCACAATCTAGAAACTATCCTAAATATTTGATATAAACTGGCCTATATAATCCCCACAACAACACTAAAACAGGTACTATTATTCATTACCCCTGTTTTACAGATGAGAAAATGTACCAAGGTTACAACTAGTAAGTGGCGGAGTGGCGACGTGAACCCAGGCAGCTGAACTTCAGAGCACGCACTCGAACACTGCTCTATTCTGTGTCTACGCTCATTATGTGGAAGAGAAGTATTACAGACATTCCCATCAAAACAAAAGGCACCTCAGAAACAAGCAAGGCACGTTAGTGGAATAAACACTGAGAAATACAATTTGCTAAATCAGAATTTAAGGAAGATGACAAAAATGACAATAAAACCCAGGAGAGTAAAACTCAGTTTCTATTACTAGCCAACCTTAAAGTTTTTTCTTTTTTTTTTTTTTTAAATAGGGTGGAAGGAGTATGTGATTATTGTTGAATACATGTGACTGACACAGTTACCAAATTTTAAGATCACTTAAGTGCTTTACATTTTCAGCAATAAGATTAAAGTTCTGGCTGTAGTTTCATGAGACAATTAACTTGTTACACTAAACTATCTTAAGTCAGTCTAATATAGCATCTCTGTGATAGAGGGACAGATAATAACAGGCTGAAAAACCAAGGAGTTACACACTCAATCAGCAAAATCAGGCCTTAACACAGTACTTGCTAGATATAAGTCTCAAATGCTCCTGTTGTAAACCCAGCAAGTTAAAAGAAGCAGGTCTACTGTAAAAAATACACATAAAATGTGAGCTTACAGAAGTCCCAAATCTAAACAATTTTTAAAGCATTCGTTTAAATAAGGCATATACTTTATGTTTTTAAATGATGTATCATTTCATAGGGTACCAAATAAATGAAACATATCTGTAGTTGGTACTATAATTTGGAGGTTAAATTTCATTTATTACCGATTACTCAGATTGATAAAATTACACCTTAAGAGTACTGATTATCTGCTCTTGCTAACAAAAAACAAGTCTAAATAAATTAGGATGTGACATCTAACCTCGAATCTTATTTTAAATAAATTAAGCCTCTTCATCTTAAAATAAACTGTTTTGACTCTGGCCTTCCTGCTGCAGGTGTACGCGCCGCTGCCCGGCCGCGCCGACGCCTTCCACCGCAGCCTCTTCCTCTTCTGCTGCCGGGAGCCACCGTGCTGCGCCGGCCTCCGAGTTTTTAGGAATTAGCTACCCAGGAAAAATGACTTTTACTCATATGAGCCACCTTCTGAGAATCCTCACCCCGAAACAGAAGAATCTGTGTGTCTCCAACTTAAGTCTGGTGCACATCTCTGCAGGGTTTGTGGCTGCCTAGGCCCCAAGATATGCTCCAGATGCCACAATGCTCATTATTGCAGTAAGGAACATCAGGTTCTAGACTGGAGATCAGGACATAAGCAGACTTGTACACAACCAAATCAATTGGAATATACAGTTCCAGACCACAACTTCCTTTTCCCAGAATTTGAAATTGTAACAGAAACAGAGGATGAGATTATGCCTGAAGTCATGGAAAAGGAAGATGACTCGGAGGTTGTACGGAACATGGGTGAAGCACTTGAGGAAGAACTGGATTCCATGGCAAAACATGAATCCAGGGAAGATAGAATTTTCCAGAAGTTTAAAACTCAGATAGCCCTTGAACCAGAACAGATTCTCAGATATGGTAGAGGTATTGCCCCCATCTGGATTTCTGGTGAAAATATCCCTCAAGAGAAGGATATTCCAGATTGCCCTTGTGGTGCCAAGAGAATATTTGAATTCCAGGTCATGCCTCAGCTGCTGAACTACCTAAAGGCTGACAGACTGGGCAGAAGTGTTGACTGGGGTGTCCTGGCTGTCTTCACCTGTGCTGAAAGCTGTAGCTTGGGCACTGGCTATACAGAGGAATTTGTATGGAAGCAGGATGTAACAGATACACCTTACAGACATTAAAGCCTTAAAAACATTACTAAAAAATAAATAAATAAAAAATAAAATAAAATAAACTGTTTTGAGAAACTGCCCTTTTATTGTAGATGAAACACTTCTAAATTCTGTGGGAAGTTAGATCAGAAAAACTCTTACTGAACTAAAACCGATTTTATTCCACAAATGCAAAATACCCTCAAGTTCTTAAAATTAGCTAATCATGCAATTACCTTTAAACAGATAGGAAAATTACTCTAAATAAAATTTTACTTCCTAATGAAAATATCAAACAATAATAGAAAATCTGTACCATTCATCAATTACCCTGTGTCAAGAACAGTACTAAGCTCTACAATAATGGGAAATTAAAAGCTTGAAGTTGTTTGCCCAAGGTTATTGCTACAGCTAGTAATTCACTTAAATCACCAGGGTGCTAATGCTAGAAAAAGAAATTTTTTTGGATTGAAAATTTTGAAAACAACATTCCTCTATTTGCCTAGAATGACAGCTCTTACGATTTCTTCAATCAAGTTAGCTTGCTCAAGGTTTTCAACAATGGAATTTCAGAGTTTCCAAAGGAATAACGGGTTCATCCATTCTTTACAGAGCTCTGCATCTACACACCCCAGCCCCTACCCATTTTTGAAACTCTAGGAAAATGATCTAAATTCCAACAGTCACACAAAGCCAGCATTTATGGAGGAGCCTTCCCCTATGCCAGGAAACATGGTGGGCACATCAAACACCTCACTAAAAAATCTTCACAAAGCCAACAAGAGGCAGTTGGTAGTACCTAATTTTACAGCTAAGGACATTAAGATTCAGAAAGCCCAAGATTACGCCGCTCATCAGTGACCAAGCTGGGCCTGCAAACCCAGTGCACTAATTCAAAACAGCAGGAGTCTACCGAACCATAAATAAATTCTCTCTACCTCTCTTTCCTCCTAAAACATGAGAGCCAGAACGAATGCCATATTGCAGATGGTGTAAGATCAGCGCTGTCCAACACGGTAGTCACTAACCCCGTGAGGCTATCGAACGCGTGAAATGCCTTAGGGTCGCTAAATTAAATAGCATGAAAAAAAGGTAATCACTTCTTCGTACTCTCCGGGCTTTCATAACTCACACACCAATTTTAACTTCAGAAAACTGTTCCGGCTGAGCAACCTAGATAAAATTACGAAAATATTTCTTATGGCAACACACGTGCTTTTTCTCTTGTTGCAAATGAAGACTCCCCCCAAATTCAGGGCGGATCACGACGGTTCTGGGGACACCATCTCCCTCTTGCAAACCTCTCTTTATTAAAAGCTGTCGCAGGTCTGAAATAAGACTGAGCCGGGGGAGAAGCGCAGCCCTTTGGACTCCCTGCACTTGCTGTAGCATTCGCTCGTATCTCGGAAGCATTCAGCGCTACCGAGAGGGTTTCGGAATGCAGCACCCACCCCGCAGGAGACGAGCGGACCTGGCCTCGGGCTGAAAGCCGGCAAGTACAGAAGGCACGACTTTCGAGCTCGGGACAGAGGTTTTAAAAGGTGAGGGGCCGCCAAAGAGCCACCCACCCCCACCCCCGCCAACACACACGCACCCTACATTGCAATACAAATTAGGGGTGACGGGGTACAAATGCAATTTGTGGTGATGGGTATACAGCCCCCCCACATCAAGGGCACGATGGATGACAATCAGCTGTGTCTCATGAATATTCATAACCAAAAAAAATATTTTTTTTGCAAAAAAAGAAAACAAATGACAGGATGAGGGCTGGCCCGTTGGCTCAGCTGGTTAAGAGTGCGGCCAAGGTCACGGGTTCGGATCCTCAGAGTGGCCACCCGTCAAATAAATAAATAAAATAGCAGTTTAAAAAAACATGTTAAGAGGGTGTTTCCTCAGCAAGAGCGTTTGGGGAAAACAAAATGGGGGGCCCCTTCCTGCAAGATGGAGGGAGCGGAGCAGGCCGAGGGCCGGG